TCATTCCAAGTTCTATATCTCATAACATAACATTAGATTGGAAAGCTTAACATTGAACTAGCTTCTAGAAGTTTCCTTTGCTGGATAACAATAGGCTGAACATTTAGTAAAGTTCACCAGAAGGGTTTTGCTGTGTTTCCGAAACATCTTAAATTAAGCATCTTAAATTAAATATCCAGCAGGGATCACTTAAAGCAGAAATACTCAATACAGGTGGCCTATCACCCACATTCCCCTATCACTTACACATATGGGTCTGCCTGTCTTGGCTCCCTTCTCCCCAGTGGGGGAAGAGGGTCTCCCTAACATGCCCATGGGAAGCTGGTGAGGAAAATTCCATAGGAACTCCATGGGCTCAAGAAAATGGGCAAGGGAAGGAGCTGTGAAGCCTGGGAAGAGCCAGGGGGCCTGAGCCGGGGAGCAGAATCCCAGGCAAGGTTGGCCTGACCAAGTGTTTACCAAATGACAGACTTTGGGGCCCCAATTTGCCTCCTTGTAAGGCTTGCATTTCTTTCACTGTCCATACTATGTTGTGCTGCTTGAAATCCCACCATTTAGAGCAACGTCTTGGCAGAGGCTGAAGGAAAAGGTGGGAAAAAGGCTTTCATCGGGCTGTTGGAAGAAGGAAGATGGCCCCTAATAACAGCAGTGCTTACTTATCAGGCACGGGCTTTACAAAGCATTTCCTCATTTAACCCTCAAAGCAACCCCAGGAGAAAGCTGTAATAGCATCCCTATTTTCCAGGTGAGGAAACTGAGGTTTGAGAGATTAAGTAAGAGCTGGTTGTGTGGCAAGGCTGGGACCCAAACCTAGTCTAATCCAACGGTGGGAACTGGAAATCTTGCTTGTTGGGACTCCCTGATTTCTTGCTCTGTGCCCTCTTTCTGCAACTTATGGGAACTGGCACCCCGGGAAGAGGCTCTAGCCTAAGAATACTGTGACCTGTATTTCAGTTATATTATGGTTTACACCTAGATTTGTGTGGGCTGGCCTGGGAACTGGATATCTTGCTTTATAAAATTGTTTCCATAGGAAATTTCAAGATGTGCTACCCAACTGGGGGAATATAGTCTCATTGTATTACAATAAGTTGTGTATTACCTGTAATTATAATTTAACAATGCCCAATCTTTCTTCTACTTGGCCTCTGGTCACATAAGAAGTCTGCCCTCCTGGTCCAAGGCTGTTCGCGTTTAGTTCTGGTTCACAGTGCTACTGGATTGTACCACTGCTGGACATACTTCCACTAGATAGTATGCTCCGTGCAGGCAGAGACTTTTGTCTATTATGTGTACCAAGTACTTCCCAGCACTTAGGACAGTGCCGGGCCCACACAGGCACACATGAACTATTTGTCGAATGAATACATGATTTCAGATAGCAAATTTTAAAACCACATGCACTTTATGCTTTTGCTTGTGAAACACATTTAGAGCTGTTATCCACGGCCAAGATCTGACATACAACTAAGATGAACTAACCTTTAAAAACTTCAGACAACCTTGTGCAACAGGGTTTTAGTCGCTAGTTGAAGACCTTCCTCCCACCTAAAGTGTTTTCCCCTAAGCAGCAAAACCGAATGCTCTACTCTATGTCTCCGTGATTGGGGGAAACTCTGGTCCCGGTTTAGCCGAACTGCCTTCCACCATTGTGGAGCTCTTGCACTCTGGGCAAGCTGCTTTACCATGAGGAAGGGAAGGGGTTAACTGTGTCAGCTCTACAATGCTATGAGATCTGCAAATTTCACCTTCTAGATTCCTCCCAGCCTGCTCTAATTATCCTTTGGAGAAGATGTTGGCAAAAAGCAAAATACAAGAAAAAAGATCACTAAAGGGAAAAAGATGTCCTTGGATGCCCCAAAGGGAATACCACAAGTCCTTGAGTTTAGACAAGTTCACAGTTGCCACAGGAAGCAGCCACATTTACTTTATATTGAACCTGTAGGCAAGCAAGCAAGCCAGTTACGCATTCTATGTGGGTAGTTCACCCTGTGAAAATGCTAGGAACAGAATTCTGGCTGTTTCATTTACACTAGAAGCAGCAGGACACCTGCAACCTCAGGGGTGAGGGTGTGAAGGCTAGCCCCCTTCAAACAGCACAGAGTGCTAAAGGTGGCACAAAAGCACCTTTGCTCAATCACTAAGTCACAGGCATTTGAACAGTGGAGGGACTATTTTCCCAACGCAACTCATGACTTAATGTTTTTGTCCATAAGCATTAACCAGTCGCACGGTGTACGGTGTGCAAGATATAAATGTCAGCACCATGACGGGAGCCTGCTGACACTGGTTGAGCGTTCGAAGTCTGCACGCTGTCATTCCTCTGCCTTCCCTGCACTAACAGCTTGCTACCGAACTGAACATACCTGGAAAGAAATCAACTTGGCTTAGAACACAGCTCAGTTTCTCTTTGGGAACATTTCTGTTTCAAGTGTCCTCTAGGATCTATTGGGTCTTCTAGCAGATAAAATGGAATTGGGTGTGTTCTGCTAGTTCAAATGTAAATAGAGTAGTAGGAATCTTGGCCATTGATGACTTAACATCAGTTGTGGAAAAGGGAAGTAATCTCCCTTCTCCCACCAGTCCTTTGCACACCACCACCCTGCCCTCATCAGTAGGATTAATGCTACCCTGCTTGCTTTGTCACTGGTTGTATCTTACATGGGGCACAGATTTTCTTAGGGTATTATCAAACGAAATGTTTCAATCCTGACTACACATTAGAGTTACCTGGGAACATCTAAATCTCCCAAAGCCCAAGCCACACTGGAAACCAATTAAATCTGAAGCTCTCAGGGTGAGGCCCAGCATCAGTGTTCCATTAAGGATCCCTGGGTGATTTCAAAGAGCATGAGCTCTCTCCTTCTGAGTCTTTTCCCAGAGGACAGTGAGGGCAGGACCATGAAGGCCAGGGGACCAAGTCTTATAGCCACTGGTGTTTTGGAGTAGAAAGGCCTCCCCTTACTGCAAGGTTGTAAACTGTTCACGGAGTTGTAAAGTACGTATGTAAGTTGGCCAAAGTCAGAATTAGTTAAAAATAGAGCCAGATGGGGCACCTGGGTGGCTCAGTGGGTTAAAGCCTCTGCCTTCAGCTTGGGTCATGATCCCAGAGTCCTGGGATCGAGCCCCACATCAGGCTCTCTGCTCAGCAGGGAGCCTGCTTCCCCCTCTCTCTGCCTGCCTCTCTGCCTACTTGTGATCTCTCTCTCTGTCAAATAAATAAATAAAATCTTTAAAAAAAATGTAGAGCCAGAACCAGGGGCACCTGGGTAGTTCAGCGGGTTAATCATCTGCCTCAGGCTCAGGTCATGATCCTGGGATTGAGCCCCAGGTCCGGCTCCTCGCTGAGTGGGGAGTCTGCTTCTCCCTCTCCCTCTCCCTCTGCTCCTCCCCCGCTCATTCTCTTTCATAAATAAAATCTTTAAAAAAAAGAGAGAGAGAGAAAGTAGAGCCAGAATCAAGAGCCAGTATTAAATAAGCCTAGGTAGACAGGATACTACTATGCTAGTTAGACTTCCATGAATTAATCAGCTTCATAATCAGGCACAGTCATATTTCTCCTGAGCTTTCTGATTAGAGAAGTATTGTCTAACATTGTGTTCCTGTTCCTCTGGCCTAGGCTGTTAGAGTGAATGAAAAGCCACTTACTCAGCTCTCATGGGTACTATTCTGAAGAGAGTGATACTAAGGGGCATTTTAAATTTAGGTTTCTATTAGAGAAACTTTTACGTACACTAAGGTGGATATTCATGGCTGAAACCAAAACCTTTAAAAATAAATTTATATAACTAATTGACAGAAACTCTTAAAACAGTTACTTTAATTTCAAGACATCAACCATGTTCTTTTGCTAACCTTAAGTCACTCCTGAAGTCTTAATTTGGTTTAGAAAAGGCACTATTTCCTCTTTCTTGGGACTTCTGGAAGAAGAGACTTTTATTGTTGTAATTAAGCATAAAATAAACATCACATTTCCTGCACTGCATTTTCAGCTCAAGGCCACTAGGTTTGGGGGACTCACAGCTGACTTTCAGGGTTGCTTCTCCTGTGTATATGACTTCAGTTTGTTTTAAGTGGAAAACAGCTAGTGGGATAATGGAAGGCCACAGTGGCTAGGGTGACATCTGGGCTACAGCTCACTATTGCTTTTTGGGGGGTTGTGTCAAATTTTCTACATAGTTCCCCAATAACCTTTAACTTATAATGTATGCACATACCCTGCTTAATGCAACAAATAAACTGAAGAGCCTAGGGCAAATTATATCAAATCATAGTTGACATGCCCTAATAGAGGTCTATCTAAAACATTTTTGAGAGGTAAATCACAGATTTTTATTTATTTATTTGTATGTTCTTTTCTTAAAACTTAGTATTGTCATGTGTGGAGCCAACTACAGCTTTCCCCCTAGTCCTAGCTAGCACTATTTACACTTAAACCTTTCTAGAACCGGAACTTTTCTGAACAGATTTGACACTGCCCAGATGCTTGTTCTGGAAATCGAGGCCCTTCTGTGTTTTCTCTGACTCGGGCTTGGTTTTGGAAAATCTCAGCCTCTTCCCTTGCAAGGACAGTTCAGGATGGAAATACAACTGTTTCCAGAATTCAGCACAGCCAGGCACACCCAAACGGATAAGAAAGGAAAAAAACAAAACAAAACAGGAGTGCGTGTGTATGTTAGGGAAGCGGAGAAAAGGGGACAACTGTGTCTTTTCCTGCGGTGCTGGTAGTGACTGGGGGGAAATGTTCATCCGAATGCTAAACGGGCAGCAAAAAAAATGTGATACCCTCTGGGCTAAGCAAACCAGCACGTGTCCCATACGGACGGGGCATCAGGGCTTTTGGGCAGCAGGCGACAGGCACACCCTGGGAGGGGGGCTACCGCGCGGGCGTGGGAGGCCGTCCCGCCGTCCCAGCTGTCTTGGGGTGTGTGCGGGCGGCGGGTGGGGGTGCGTGGGGGTCCGCCGGCGGCCCCCCCACGCGGGGAGGGAACGGTTCTTACAGTCACGGCTCAGCGCGAAGGGCGCGCGGCGGCGGCCGAGGGAGCGGTCTTCAGCGGGCGCCTCGGGAGGCCTCTTACCGGCGGGCAACGGGAAGGCGGACGCGGTGTGGAGCAGCACCAGGCAGACAGCCACGACATCCCATAACTTCATCTTAGAGTCCCGTCCGGCAGCGGCACCTGCACGGGCAGGGGAGAGGACCGGCGGAGGCGCGTTAGGCCGGGGAGCCCAGGGCGCGGCATCCCCGCGGGTCCCAGGGCCCTGCTCCAAACTCGTCACCGCCCTCCTCCGGGACGGCTGCAGCCCAGCGCTTCCCTGGGCATCCCGCGCCCTCCTTCCAAGTCCCCAGCTCACTCCCCGGTCACGGGGGCGTCCCAGGCGCGGCTAGGTCTCCGCCTCCAACCTACTACCGCCCTTCACTCCAGCCAGCGGATCCCAGGGGTCAGTTTCCTGCCGGGCCCGTGCCCCGTCAGGTACCAACACGACGGCACCACGATACCTGGCCAACACGACGAAACCCGTACTGGTGTCCCCACTGCCCCATTACCCCAGGGGACGAGGGGACAGCTGTCACCCTGCGTCCTCCGCCCGGTTCGGGGCCCTCCCACCTTCCCATAGCTCCCAGAGGTCCCGGGAACCAACCTTCAGAGCCAAGCAAGCGGTCAGCGTTTCATTTTACGAATAAAATCAAGGACCCTTTATCCGGGGTCCAGATGCTGCGGTCAGCTGGCTGGGGCAGGCTTTGTGGCACCCCTCACCCTACCCGCGCGCTTCATTCCTCCCACTTATTTATAGAAGTATTCTGTCGCTGAAGGAGTAGTAGGGACTTGGGGACTTCTGGCCTGTGTGGGAACACCTGCGTTAACGTTACTTCCCAAAGCATCAGCTAGGTTTAAAATACTACTTCCACCTCTTAAGGTTAGGAACATTAACGTATGAAAGATCTAGGGGAGCATACAATAAGCGCCCAATAACTGCTTTAGCATTGCTGTTAGGTAGGGTTTGCATTTGCCTTGACAATTTTAATGCTTGCTTCTATACCGGAACACCCTCTATTTCACTTTTGTAGTTTTGCGAGATTCTGATCCCCAGTCCCTTCTCCCGGCTCAGAGGAGTCTCGAGCTCCCCACGCCGGGTATCCAGGAGAATGGTACCCTGCAGCGCGGGCAGGGGAAGGCCTAGACCACCAAAGGATGCGGAGTTGGGGCTCAGTTCTCTCAGCGAGGGGGTTCCGTTTAGCTCCTCAGCCCTCAAAACCCCCAGAGAGTCGGCCTACACCAGCGCAGCCGCGGGCGGGGGCGAAAAAGGCACTGTCAACTCAGGGCCAAACCCCACCCAATCAGCGGGTGGAGGAGACCCAGGCACTTTGGGGTGTGGTGTTACCTCGTGTCTTCCCAATGCCCGTGTTCCAGTTTTCAAGGAAATTAAGTGGAACCTACGGGATTCAAGTAGTTAAATTATGCCTCCTTCATATACGATTCTAAGGAAAATCTCCTTGAACTTTCTCCATGGGAGGAGTACGACAGTGTGCAGGTAAACGCAAAAACTCGGCCTCGGCATCTTTCGGGGAGCTCCCAGGCTCACCGCCTCCCGCCCCCAGCCCTACCCCCATCTCCACCCAGAACTCCCGCCTAGATTCCCTCGCAGGCCACCCGGGGAAGAGTTTAATTCGGCCGCCACCTCCCACCGCTGCGGAGACGAATGCATTTTCCATCCCTCGGGCGTCTGTTAGCTACGCAGCTGTGGGCCTCGGGGTGTTTGCAGGAACTGGGAACTCAGGCAACCTGCAGCTAGCTCCCGGCCCCTCTTGCCGCGAGGGCAGGTTTACAAACCCGGGAAAAAGCAGAGGCTCTAGATTCTGGCGCCTGGGCCCAGGGAACACTGCACCGAGGCCGTGCAAAAGGAGCGCACAGGAGAGAACTGGAGGGGACGCCCCCTCGCCCCGGTGCCAGCTCCAGGGTGCGTGCGAAATGGCTGGCGGCCCCGAGAGGCAGGGAGCCCCGGGGTTAATGCGCCATTCCAAATCACGGTGCCCGCCAGCAGGAAGCAACCGAGGCACCAGATTTCCCTTCCGCATTAAGAGGGTTTTCCCCTTTTTTTCCCCGCTTGGCCGACGGAGAGCTTTTTAAATTGGACGTGGGGATCCTCAATTAGAAGTGTGGAGAAGCTGGCAAAAGAGGAAACCGTGGAAAAGTCTCCGCTTCGCCAGAGGAGGCTCCCGGCTCCCGGCTCCCGTTCCCGCCCGCGGCCGGGTGCAGCGCAGGCCCGGAAAGCGCTCCCCCACCTCCCCCGCGGCAGGGAGGGCTCATTCCTCCCTGCGAGCACCGCCGGCCCGGCCCCACTCGGAGCGGCTCTTCAGTTCCCGGTATTTGCTGGGCGGAGGAAGGAGGGGGTTTGGGAGCTGAGCACATACAGTGGTCTGTCTACTGGGAAGCTTTTCCCAGGGCCCATCTGGGCGCCCCCCTCCAACCCCCCACCACTTCCCGGTTTGTCTTTTTATCGCTCTCTCAAAGCACAGCTGCAGGACGCGTTTTTGCCGCAACCGGCCGCCTTTGCTACGCGCGCGAATTGCTTAACGCGCTGCCACGTGCGGTAACCACGCTCTCCTCCCGAAGTCGGCTCCGCCAGGTGCCCCCGCATCCATTCTTGTACCCCACAGCCTACTTCCCCCACGGCGCCCGGGACCAGTGCGCCCCGCAGGGCAAAAGGGGCGCTTAGCGGGCGCCCGCACCCGGCGGTCCCCAGGCCCGCGGGGGGGGAAAGGGCGCCCCAGAGGGCCCCAGTACCGGCAGAAGCCACCGCTCACGGTGGGGCGCTTCTGGGTTCCCAGCACCAGGGGGCACCAGAAACCGTCCGAGTCCCGTGGCGCCCACGCGAACGAGAGGCTGCGTCATTTTAAGTATGAAATCCGTGAACAAGCACCCCCGGTCCCCCAACAATCCTCCCCAAATCCAAATTACCCCCCAGAACTTCCGGATGTGCTCACCAGCTTGCCTGCTTTTCAGGTTCCTACCTTCCATCCTCTCTCCCGTTTTCCCCTTCCCACCTCACCTGATCTGGTTTCTCGGTAACCTGCTTTTAGACTTTCCCCCTCCCCCAATTCCCGCGTCACCATGACAGCTTCCCCTGGGGTGAGCGCCCCCGCCGCCAGTGCCCCCGCACCTTCCTCTGTCTGGCAGGATGGGAGGTTTGTTTGGGCTTCGCCTTCAAGATCCAGGTCTCAGGGAGAGAAAGGGGAGGCGGGGTGGTGGGGGGCGTTCTGTAACTCGGGGGTTTTCTTTTGGGATAGGGACAGAAGTTACTGAAGGATGTATTGCTTTTCTTCAGTGTGCCTCGTGTCCTAGCCTGACGGAGGACTTATTTCCCCGTAACTGCTGGGCCCAAGAACAGGGTAAATAAAAAGTGGACATTTTCTGCATGCAGCTCTGGGGAGAGGTCTCTCTGGTAAGGTTCCAAAGACAAGGTTCTAGGTCCGGGGGCACCCGAACCCCTTGCGAGATTGGGCTGGGAACGCTGCGGGCCCCCTGAACACCTGACACTTATTGAAAAGGCGATACTGTCCCCCTACCCCCCCCCCCCAAAGCGAATGTGTGGCTGAACAGTGAGGTTGACAGTTGGTCCCGGCAGGGCAGAAGCCCAGCAGCTCCCACTTCGAGGGCTTTGCAGGAAGAGGCGCGTGCGTGGAGTTGGAAGCTGCATTTCTTACTCGGAATACTTAAGCGTATTTTCAAAATACTGTGCAAGAGTCGAGCACGCTCTAGCACACCGGCATCAGAGGCCGGAAGAGTTGTGTTTGTCCCCGCCAATGAGCAAAAATGTTGGGAGCAAGGGGTTGGGCAGCCCACCCTCCTCCCCGGGGCGCGCACGTCGGCTCTGCGGGGCGGGTTTGCTACAGCCAAAACTAGGGAGGTGCCAGGAGGCTGGGGGTTCCGGTGAAAGTCCATTCCCCTCCCCGGTGAGGGTTCGTTTTCACTGGGTGGGGCTGGTAAACCAAACCACGGCGCAGTCAGCCCAGAGGTGGTGCAAGGTAGTTGCGGAGAGTGTTAACGGGGAGGTGGCACAGAGTTACAGGACAAAAGAGGTCATTAAAGTGATCACTTCGATGGCCTAGCGGAGACTTTTGAGAAGTTTTAATAACCTGCTCGAGGCGGAGACCCAAGTCCTGGACTGTCCAGGCAGTCCCTCTCTTAACCTCGACGGGCATGGTTTTCTGAGGTTTCGGGCATTAGGAAAGTGCAAGCGACCGGGTTCCGAAAAGGGCGAGGAACGTAGCTTTGCAAGACGGCGCTCGGAGGACGTGAGCCCACAGTTTTTAGGCTCTCAGCACCTTTCAGAAGTCCCTCCCAGGGTGTGCGCCTTTCCTCGGAACATACCCCAACAAGCTCAACAGTAGTTACGTGCCCGCAATGAGATCCCTGCAGTTGCGCGTCCAGAGAAGGCACTTTCTGGTCGCGGTGGGTTCAAAGATGACCCCAAACCTGCCCGTCCCAGGACTTGACAGAAGAGCGCCCCGAGGAGCCAGGGAGGGGAAACTGAACCTCTCGCACATTCTGGGGTCCACAGGGATCGGGGCACCAGATATCTTTGTCCACGTGGGGAAGGCAACCGGCGTCTCTGCAAGGCCAGCCCCTCTCGCGTCCAACTTCTCTTTCTCCTCTACCCTCCCGGTGCCTCGGTTCGATCTAGTCTTTTCTCTTTCCGATCTCACCGCCTGCTCTGGGGTCCAGCCGCACCCCCTCTGTCTCCCGCGCCCTGCAGGCCGCCGCGGCCGCCGGCGACTCAGGCGCCATCCCCCTGTTCCACCCCGGCCCGCTCTCCCACTTACCTCGGATCCGGTCTCCGCAGACCCCCAGTTGGACATTAATTCCAGGAACCCCGAGTCCCAGCCAGGAGCCCCATCCGCGCCGAGGGCAGGAGCGCAAAGCCCCGCCCAACTGGTTAGGGGGCACGAATTCGCAATCCTGGGGCAACGAGGGTGCGCAGGAGGCGGTGGCCAAGACTTCCGCCGCCGCCTCGAGAAGAGCGAGGGATGCCGACAGCTCCCCCGCCGATGCCCTGCACCCCCAGAAACCGAGGTCCGAGCAGCCGCCGCTGCCTTGCGTGGGGGGGGGGGGGGTTGTGACACGGCTGCGCGCGCCGCGCTCTTGGCCGGGGCTGCGCGGGCCCGGGGCGCGGCGGGCGGCTCAGCTGCGGCTGCCGCGCTCTGCGCCTTCTCGGGGCGCAGCGCCTGGAAGCACGAGATGGGCCGGGCTGATGCTGCCGCCGGAGCTGAGGTCTGGCCTGGAAATCCGATCGAGACAGCACGTCAACCGGCGCGGGGAGTCCCGTGAAGACATGAGGGCGCCAGGAGCGCAGGCTGGTCCTTGAGAGCCCGGGCCGGGGGGCCGGGGTGGGGGAGGGGAAGCGCGGGGCCCCAAGAGGGGAGGGGTCGGGAAGCGGTTGTGAAGGAGGGAAAGGAGAGCAGTGAGGAGGCGCCCGCGCTCCCGAGGAGGGGGCTCGGGGTGCGAGTGGGTGACGCGAGGCGCTCCTCCCCGGGGTGCAGGGAGAGCGCTCAGCGCGTGGAGACGCTGCCGGGTTGGCGTCTCCTCCTCGCCGGGTAGATCCGAAGGAATGTGTGGAGCTCCGCGCAGACCAACCGAAGGGGGCAATCGCAACTTGACCGCGGTGCCGGCGCCAGGCTTTGCCCCAGCGCCGCGCGCTGTGAGGGAGGGCGCTCCGTCGGGTGGAGGGTTACACTGGGCTTTCCTCGCGCCTGTCGAAGGCTTTCCTTCCCTCCCGGGTGTCTAGCCCTCTCGCGTTTCTGCAGGGCAGAAGGCAGTGGGGGGGTGGGGGGAGAGGAGTGGCTTGCCGGAGTCCTCCTCACACTACGAAGGAGAGATGTGCAGCGGCCCAGCCAAGGAGGCAGAGTGTTTGCCAGGGGACGCTGAGAGTGGGGATGAATTTATAGGACTCTCACTCTGTGACGTGCCCTCCAGTGGCTTTTCTGATTCGCTTTCTGACCTAAACACACATTAGTTTAGTCCCCATGCTAGGGCCAACACGGTCTCCAAATACCTGCTGGCTGAAGTCAGAGGCTTTGCATATCATGTATTACATGGCAGGCAATGAAGAAGGCTTCTGAGGCTGGCCGGCTCCTCAGTCCTAGGCTCCATTTTCATGCTGTTGTAATATAATATCAGACGTGGGGTAGGCACATACATTCAAAATCCCAATTCCAGAGGGGTAAGATCATTTTATCAGGAACAGGTCAAAGGAGGTTGGGCTAAACCTTCTTTTATCCTGATTTTGCAAAATGTGGATGGGAAACTTAAGCAAGCACTCCATTGGGTGCTGAGTTTCCAGGGAGCAGGGTTCCTGATCTCTGTGAGAGCTTTGAAGCATTCCTTTTGTTGGTTAGCTTACCACCAGAAGCAGCCAGAGCCTTCTTTTGTAGAGGACACGGGGAGGGCAAGTCCTTACACACCCCCTGTGCCTGACTCTTCCCGTAAATACATCTCATTCACACAGCACATGAAATTAACTCTGCCTTTAAAACAATGTACTAAATAAGGTATGTTTTCGCTCAGCTGAAGCCTGCTTTTCGGAAGCCATTGGGACCTGAATTCAGGGAGACCTCTTTTATTTTATGAGCTGGGGCCAGGGAAAGCATAAACAGGCTCAGTTTACGTCCATGTACCTCTAATTGTATGAGTCATCTGGTTGTTGGGGAGAGTGTGTTCTTCAAGTAGCTGATACAGACAATAGACAGGGGAAATGTGTGTGGCAATGTGGGGAGAAGATCATGTATTATTAAACTTTTTGAAAGTCAAAGATCAGCTACCTTTGGAGGTTTGTCAGTAAAGCTAGTGTGGGAAGAAAATTGTTCTTAGTAATGTTACTGTGATTTAAGATGAAGCAGAATGAAAATCAAGTCATCCAAACACACCTTAGCTGAAGTTAAGATGATCACTGTAGTTCTGCAGAACATGTCATTTCCTTCTTTGCTGGATTTATGGTAGACGTGTAGATGGATTTAGACAAGGGAGGGCAGAAGAAGCTTAACATATTTAGGCTTATATTCATAGTTTAGCATTGTTTTGGGAATTCAAAGGCAACCCTAGTCAGTGTCCCTCCCATGAATGATTTCTTCATTTTCAGAAGGTTTTTCACTTAGGATGGTCATGCTGTCCAAACACCTGCAATGATTTAGCACTTGTTAGGTGCTAGACCCTGGAATTACGCTGACTGGGCTTTTAGGGGTTGCAAAGAACAGTTACCTCTGAGTTTACCCCTAGTAATGGGAGTTCACTGTGGAAGGAAAGCTGACCGGAATCTCCACCACTCAGCCACGTGTCTCCGAAAAGCCTTCCGGAAAGGCCACCCAGCCAGGCCTCACGAAAACTGGATTGAAGTTCAGGAACTGGAAGGTCATTCAGGATACAGCTCTGTGGCTGGGTTATCTTGTTGCCCCCTGAGCAGCAGCCATCTGCGATCCCTACTAGCAGGCTTAGCCGCCAAGGTGATTCAGCTCCTCTCTCTCTCTCTCTCTCTCTCTCTCTCTCTCTGCTTTTCTTTGATTGTCTCTTGGCTTCTTTGATCCTGCTATCAACTGCTCAGCTCTCTGTTGATCTCACATTTTAACTCCTTTAGTGAAAGAATCTAATTGGCCACACTGGGCACTAACCAGATGCTAGGGTTGAACTCAGCGTTTGTACCAGGCCTCCATTTGGTTGCTGGACACCCTGTAGATCAGCAGATCTTGGTCAGGTACTTCTGGGCTAGTCACCTATGGCCATGCTGTTGGGGTCACATGGTACCAAGCCTGGTGACCTTTGCTTAAGAAACTTCCCCGGGGTTCGTACTTGCTTTCTTTCCACAGGATTTGTGCCAACAGAAGGAACTGTATTAATGGTAGCCTCTTGGAAATTAACAAAGCTCTGTCTACTGTAAGACTCAAAGATGAAAAAGATTCAACTCCTGGTCTCCATGCACTTACCAGCTATAAGAGGAGGAGACATGCATATAAGTCGTCACAGTACAGTGACAAATGCTCTTGTATCATAGGGGTGTGTAGGAGGTGCTCATGTCCGATCTTCCCATGGCCAGTCAAACCCTGGGACAATTATGAAAACATACTCATGTGTTGGACCTATTCTTGGGCAATTCATTGAGACTCTCTTGGGCAGTAGAGCCCAGAAGTCGTTTTTTTTTTTTTTTTTTTTTTTTTAATGTTTCCTAAGTTGTTCTAAGTACACCTGGGGTTGAGGTATCAATTAACTTTATTTTTTCCCATGATTATAATCATTTTATGATTCTTTCTGAGAGCAAAACTAAGAGATTTATCTATTTTGAGAGTCCTAGACCTTCCTAGGACTATGATGCTTCCAAAGTACTAAATTTCTTTTGGAATACTACTGATTATCTTGAAATTGTGGTATAAAGGAAAATGTAAAATTGAATTTAGAGTTAAAGCAAATACTTCTAGTTTGGGAAGAATATTTATTTGCATGATTACGACATTCAGATGGCTGCAGAAAAGGGGAAAAGGTCCAATGCTGTTAGACTCTCCTAGTACAAAGACCAGCATTTAAATGTACTATAATTAGTATTGACTAAATCTCTTCAGACTCAGGGCTTGACAGACAATAAAAAACAAAATTTCTTCTAAAGTGACTGCCATGAAGAAGGCATTTGATGTCTTAGGGACAGGAGGATGACCGGATGTCACAATCTCAAAGCCCGCAGCTGCTGAAAGTAGGGACCTCTCCATGGCTCCATCTTCTCCCTTTTCTTTCTTAAAAAAAAAAAAAAAATTATTTATTTGAGAGAGAGACCATGAGCAGGGGGAGGTGCAGAGGGAAAGGGAGACAAGCCGACTCCCTACTGAGCAGGGAGCCTCATATGGGGCTCAATCCCAGGAACCTGAGATCACAACCAGAGCCAAAATCAAGAGTTGGATGCTTAACACACTGATCCACTCAGGTGTCACCCCTCCCCCCATCTTCTCCTTTTTTCTAAGAAACAAAGCTAAGTTTGTTATGAAGCTGTTCCTCAGCAAAGCCCAGAAGACAACAGTCTGCAGCCCCACTTTTGCTCTGAGTAGGTTGATTGTCCCCTGGTAAAGTTACAACAACACACTGCTAAGAATCCTTACACTGGCCCTAGATCTCAGCCTTTCATCCAGAAAAACCTGCCTGAGGATCAGAAAGTGAGAAGCAAATATTGTTCAAGCATCTCATCTCCTCTTTGAGAAGAAAGGTTCAAAACCCTCCTAATTTCCCATTGCACTGTCATCATCTTCATTGGAATCTGGCGTAGAGCTCTAACTGAAAGATTTTCAATGATGGATGCTCTCTGTACTGTGGGATCTTACAGTCCCAGGGAAGAGAAAACACAAACCAAATGATAAAAAGTAATACAGGGTATCATGAGGCTGTGGGCCACAATGGAGAAATGGAGAAATCAGTTGAAATATTACCATATTTGGACCGCAAACTAGACCTTTCTTGGGGAAAGGAAGTGTGTGGGGGGTGGCAAGAGGGCATTCCAGGCTAGGTGGAAGGGCTCTCCAAGCCACTGTGCTCAGCCCTGTAGCCCTTAGGGGGCAGTGGAGCAGCTGGTCAGCCTTTGGCCATTCACAGAACATCCTGAGGGAGCTCCCAGTGAGGCTGTGCAGCCGCTTTGCTTTGCCTATAAGGGCCAGGCACTGGGTCCCAGGACTCCTCGTAACATGGGTCATGACGGCTGAAACAGAATCCATCACTTGAGCAAGGCAATTTCCTTTTCAAAATCACCACTTTATTGGGGAGGGATTTGTTTCATGCGAGATTGCCCTTTTGCAGTCATTTTCACCAATGATACTATTCCTCATAAAGGAAAGATAAATTTGCTATACTTCAGACTACTTCTAAGAAGAGAAAAGAAGAAAAGAAAAGGGGAAAAATGGACAGTAATGGCCTCTTTGCCAAGTAGTAGTAAGAGACAATTCTTTGGAGTAAAGTGTTTCTCATAAGAAATCAACTCTGACGTTGACATGGTAGGTTTATCGATGATTTCTGGCAGTGTCTTTGATAAGGATCTA